TTTTTTGTACCATGGATTTAACCCAGGGGTGCTAAGCCACTGAGCCACATCCCAAGTCTTTTGTATTTTTTAATTTTGAGACACTATTACTGAAGCTAGCCTTAAACTTGGAATCCTCCTACCTCAGCCTCCTGASTTGCTGGGATTACAAGCATGCAATACTGTGTCTGGCTATTATAAGTACAAGAACAAAAAGGAATGATTAAATTCTGTACTGTTATAGAACTCATTCATGTATTGTTAAGCTGGCAAATAGTGGGAATCAAATCACCATGCTGTTTATATTTCAATGGATATATTTAAAAGTGTATTGTCTTAATTTTGTTTATAATGATCAATATTTGCATACTCTAGAAGTTGTATCAAACTACAGGTTGAACATTCCTAATTTGAAAATTTGAAATCCAAAATTCAGAACTTTTTGAACATGACACTAGAAATGGCATATTCCATAACATAATACTTTGTTTCAAGTACAAAATTACTTATAGATTGTATACAAAATATGTATAAGGCACTTAGGAAACATAAAGAAATTTGTGCTTAAAGGAAAAGATAAATGAATTTATGTTTAAACTTGGGCCCCATTCCCAAGATATCTCATTATGTATATGCAAATATTCCAAAAAAACATATATATCCAAACCCTAAAACACTTCTGGTCCCAAGCAGTTTAGATTAGGGAGATTCAACCTGTATTTTAATCCCCACTGAAATTCAATAGATGTCAACTGAAGAACCTCTAGTTGGAAAGACAGCTGATGCTGCTCAAGAGTAGAGTTGCCCTCTGCTTGGGCAAGTGTTGGGTAGCCTGATAGGGCTCTCTCTGCTAAGTAGAGGCCCATGAGGTGGTTCTGCTCTGCCTGGCACAATGGGACTAACCCCTCCATCCTCTACTCAGCACCCTATCTTTTGTGACCAAGGTAAGCTCTTGATCACTGGCTCTCAGTTCAGGCAGGGAACTTGTTTGTGGGTATTATTCATGTTAGAGAAGGGAAAGTAACTCTGAGGAAGATGAAAGCCAGGATTTCCCAGTTGATCAAACACAATGAAGCCAGAGCTTGGGGGTTTTGAATGACGCGTCCGTCTCTTAGGAGTTGTGTGTTTTGTTACTTTATTTGTGCAGTGCTGGGCCTCAAGCATGTAAGCAAGTGCTCCACTACTGAGCTCCATCCCGAGGTGCGTTCTTAARTCAGTCAATCTCGGTGCAGATTCCTCATCCTGACCTAAAGGGAAGCAGGGCTTTCAAAGCAATGCTTGGCAGAGTGCGTACCACACCCACGGGGCCCACGCCACACGAGGAGGGCCCACCAGCAGAAGAAACGGAGGTCGCCCGCCCCACGCGGCGGAGCCGGATTGCCGGGATAGCGTCGCTAGCGAGGAGACCTGGGCAGCGGACGGCCGAAGAAGGTGGTGATCTAGGACTGTCACTCTCTCGCCGCAGGGGCTGTTTCATTTAGGCGAACCCAAGCACACTTCCTTCACAAGAAGTTAACAAATACTATGTCCCGGCACGTTCTCTACTCTATTCTGTATTAACCTGTGCAACTCGACCGCCGCCTATTAGAGGAAGCCCTCAGCGACATCTAGGGTCTCCGGATTCCGCGCAAACAGGCGTGTCAGCCCATCCGGGCGTCTCGCGCACGCAGGCAGGAGCGCGCACGCCGTCGCGTCACGCGCCACGCGCGTCCCCGGTCCGGCGCGCTCCGGGCGGAAGTGAGGTCTGTGGCTCCGGTGCTGCGCAGCGTCGGAGTGGAGCGCGGGCTGCGGAGAGGCGGGTCGGGCGGAGCAGAGCAAACGCGAGTGCGGCCCCCGAGCGGCGGCGGAGACGCGGGCCGAGCGGCTCAGTCCGCATCGGAACAGGCCTCCGTGGCGCTAACCCTCGCCTTGACCCTCGACCCATCCCGCCCAGGCGGGCGAGCGCTGGTTACCCAGGCCCAGGCCGCCTCGCGCGGCTCGGTGAGTGGGGCTGCTTGGCGGGGGCGGCACGCACGCCCTCCCCAGCCCCGGCCGGCGGGCGGGCCGGGGCGGTGGCGCGGACGGAAGTGCAGTGCTTTGTGCGACCAGCTCGGGGCGGCGCCAAGGTCGGGCCGGTGGCTGGGGGTCGCTGGGCGCCAGACTGGGCCCTGCTGCGCTTTGTCCGCTGGCCGGGCAGGGGCCCGGGCGCGGGCAGGTGCGGTCTGTGTGGCTGGGGGCTGCGGCCCAGGTGGCCAGCCAGGGGGGTATTCATGGCGCAGGGATGTCCTCTCGGCCTTTTAAAGGTCGCAGTCACCAGAGCAAGAGAGTATGGAAAACAGGGGAACATTGGGGTGGCGTTTCTGTAAGTCAGATTTGGTATTCTTGGGTTTAATCATTTCGAATTATTCACTTTATCTACAAAGTAAGATTCATTTGCTTTGTGGAAATTGAGCGTCCTCCCCTTGCTTGAAAAGGCACCATTTAAATTAAGCTTTTAAGATTTTCTTCAGAAAGGACATTTTGTGGCACAGTGTGGGTAAACTTTGAAAAATCAAAGTGCACCTTTCCGGTGTCCACAAACAGGGTGTTTCTCCTTTGAGTGTGTGCGAACGTGCATCCAGTGAATTGTATGAGTTAATGTTTAATCATTAAAGTCACTCATAAACATGTTTTGGAGTGTTTTGGCATGCACAGAAGCTTTAAAGAAGATTTATGTAGTTCATTTTCCTTAAAATTTCCAGTCATCCTTGTATAATTTCAGATTACTTTCTCAAATATTATGAAAGGTTTTAGGTTTTTAAATTTGGCTTTGGCAATTATAAGGCATTTAAACTTTTGTAGGTGAAGAAGTTAGTGGGTTGTTTTTGCTTGTCAGTGAAGACTTCAGCAGTCTAAGGTTACATTTTGTAATGTTAACTACTGTGGTGGAAATTATGAAAATTTTACCTTTCCTGGTCCTTATAAAGTGCACTGAATTTGGTAGAGTGCGTTCTCATGCAGTATTTTCAGGTTACCAGTATTTTCAGCTTGGCATGCAAGCTTTCAAATAAGTTAAAATTAGTTGTGATTTTGACTAAAGGAAAGTTTAGGTCTGGTGGGAGGCGCTGCAGGCTTCTAGTTGGAGACTGCTGACTTATAAGGTTCTCCTGGGTGTTCACTTTGCAGCAGTCACTGAAAATGTCCAAGCAGATAGTGTCCTTTTTCTGCCTCCTGCCTTTCAGAATAGTAAAAGGATTTAGGCTGTGCCCTAAGGCAAGTTCCTGAAACTCCAAAGGAAGGAGGGAGCAGCATGTGCTGTTACTGCCCAAACCTTCTTATTAGAACCTAATATGTTAAGATTTACTGTAAACTAGTTTTTAACCCATATTCATTTTAAGATTAAACAGAATTGTAACTTGAAAATTATTTGAATTCCAAACACTGGGAAATTAAGAAAAGCATAATTCTGTAAAAGTAGATGAGAATTTTGGGAAAAAAATCTGAAGTGCATTTAAAATATTTTAATTTTTTACAGGCTCTGTGGTTTAAAGGGAAATTTTTGTCTTTCTAGCTTGTCTTATATAGACAATTTCTTTTCCTGCACCAATCGGAACAGTTTTTAAACAGCAGTGTACCAGCACAATAGACTAATTCTTCACTCATGTCTGTTTCCCTGAAGTCTGTCCAAGTGTATTGTGCAGAAATTTGTGAATTTCTCCCAGTAGACTGCATATGTTGGTAGTGAAAGTAGACTGGGGAGAGTGGAGAACTTTCTTTTAATATGTGCTTTTCTGGATGATGTCAGATGTTACTGAGAAGTTCCAGTGTTGATTAAAGAGTATTGTATGTTGTATATTGGAGTCTCTGAAAGAGAGTTTAAGCCCCATAAAATCAGGGTTGTTGATAGGAAATCTAAAACATCAGGCTTTAAAAAAATTTTTAATATAATTTTTAGTTGTAGATGGGCACAAAACCTTTTTTTAAAAAAATTTATTTTTATGTGGTGCTGAGGATTGAACCCAGTCCTTCACAAGTGCTAAGACAAGTGCTCTACCACTGAGCCACAACCCCAGCCCCTAAAATTTTATTATTACTATTTTGTGTAGGAGCTTTGTTTATTTATTTAGATCATGATATACTTTAAAACTAGAGATGATGCAGTGATGGCTTTTTAATTTTAACGATTCCTGATTGTTCTGATTGGGATTTTCAGGTTGAGGAATTTTTGCTGTCATCAAATCTAAGATTTTTCTTTTCTTGTGTAGGTGTCAAACCGCCCATAGTAATTCTGACAGTTGAATAATTTCAAGTGGAAAACTTTAAAGAAGTGGTACCCTGTGGTTCCAGCCTTGCGATTGGGTTCCTTGGTCTAAGCCAAGTCAGAACTAGGAAACTGGTGGTTTCTGGATAATTAGTGGCCTTAGATTCCAGGCAGGTTGGTGATGGTTTTTTTTTCTTTCGTTTTTCATTATGCAACTGAAAAAAGTGCAGTACACTATATGCTCATGTATGCAACATCCTGATGTACAGATTATTAGCATTTTACTGTATTTGCCCATTTTGGTTGAAGTGTTTTAAATTAAAGACATGTCTTTATGTACTTTAATATGTATCTCTAAAAAATTATGTATACATGCAACCTCAAATGTACTACACATAGCGTATCATCTGATACTAATTTGGGTTTTGTTCCAAATATCCTTAAATTTTTTTTTTACAGTTTTTAAACTCTAAATCAGAATCCATACAAAATCTGTTTGTTTCCTTTATGTCTAATCTTATTTAAAAAAAATTTTTTTTTGTAGTTGTAGATGGACAGAATGCCTTTAATTTTATTTTTATGTGGTGCTGAGGATCAAACCCAGTGCCTCACACATGCTAGGCAAGTGCTCTGCCACTGAGCTACAGCCCCAGCCCATAATCTATTTTAATCTAGGACTGCCCCCACCCCTGYGCCTTTTTTTCAGATGAATGACTTATTGAAGAAACTGGGTCATTTGTCCTCCAGAATGCCCCATCTTTTGGTTTTGCCTGATTCCTCCATACCTCCAACTCCTTGACTTTTCCCCAGAACTGGAAGTTAGAGGCATAAAAATATATTTGACTTTTGTAGCAGTACATCTTTGATGATACATAGTAATTCATATTTCATCATGTAAGGATGCAGATAGTTAAGTAATTTGACTCTTAGTGATGTTAGGTTTGATCTTTAGGTTCAGGTTTCAAGTCTACTAATCAGTAAACAGATTATGTTTCAGTAACTCTGAACTCAAGTTAATATTACTATGATAAATCCCATATGTTCTGTTGAATAATTCTTCAGTTATTCTTGCACATTCAAAAAATACTTAAGAACTTCACTTTGTGAGATGGAGAGAGGCCATGTGGAACAAGGAATTTCCTCAGTTCTTTGGGATTATAGTATTGGGGGAATGAACAAATAACTTGAGCTTTTTGGTGTTTGTTCAGAGAGATGTGTCTGTTATAAGTTATTTTTTGCCTCTGTCAAATTGTTGCAAAACTGCAACACTTTCATTAATCCTGTAATATTTTATCTACATGTAACTTTTAATTCATTAAAATGTTTTAATAACTTTAGAAAATATATATTATCAGCTTCTGAGGAAGTAGAAATTCTTTCAGGAAATGTAATCTCAATTCAGACGTGGTTCTGTGAAATTTTTAGTGGCACGTGGGTTAAACTGTATCATTAGAGGTCTAGACTGTAAGGCTATGGAAGGGGAGCCTCGTGGTTTCCAGTGTATTTGAGTTTTTTTTTTTTTTTTTTTTGCAATTTTTGGCTATCACAGCACAGTGATAATTTGTGTAGTTTTTGATATATAGTTTTCATTTTGTATACCTAGGAATGTAGTTTTCATTTTGTATACCTAGGAATGGTATATACCCAGGGAATGGGTTGTGCTGTTTATGAGCTTCATTGCCTGTCATACGATAGCTGCTTGCTCAGCCCCCATTTAAGGGTCTCCACCTGCTTGTAACCTAACCTGTTTCTCCATAGTCATTTATTGCTGATTCCTACTTGTAACCTAAGCTCCAGATATACCCAGCCGTCTAATATTTGCAATATGGGTCTTGAATTTTCTCATTCCTGTGGCTAGTTGTGAAATTTGGAAATGCTGCCTCTTGAATCATGTTTCCTGATTATTCCTCCCTCCCCTATTGAATTTTTGCTCTCTCCATTCAGCTCTTAGAACAATTTATTCACTTGTGACTCTTAATACTCTGCCTGTATCATAATTATTCATGATTTTTGTTTTAATTCTTATAGGCCTGTGCTGTTCAGAATAATAGCTGTAACTTTCATCTGATTATTTAAGCTGAAAATTCAGTTACCATATTTGGACAGCACAGACATAGTTTCCAACTTTGCAGAAAATTCTGTTGGACAGTGCTTTTTCTAGATTGTAAATTCAGAAGGGAGGTACTGTGACTTCCTCCTTTCTCCATGGCTTTTGCATAGTGTTTTGCTAATCTCATGTTCAGTTAAGAAAATAAAATTAGATTTTGGCACAGAATGCAGAGAACTAGAGTTTGGGAAATATTTATTTCTTGAGAAATGATAGTTAAACCTGAGAAGTTAATGAAGTATTTGAGGACCTTCATGATTCCTATGTTGTAGATCTCCAAGAGTAGGTTAAAAGTGTAGAGGAATTGGATTTGGCAATTGCCAGTTTGGGGGATAAAACACAATTGATCCTTCTGCTTACCTGCTTCCTTTCTTGTTTTTTCTTTATTTTGTAGGTCTGTGCTGTCCAATGTGGTAGTCCTGGACATATGTGACTAAGTTGAAGTTAAATAAAGATGAAACATGAGATCTTGCACCAGCCACATTTTTTCAGGTGTTCATAGTCACTCTAGGCAAGTGGCTGCCATAATGAACATCAGGAAGGGGAGAACATTCTGATTAAGATATCATTTAACTGTAGTTTTGGATGTAGCAAATCTAGCTTTGGATTAAAAGTCTTAAAAAAAAAATTGTTCTGTTGATAAATGCCCTTATCTCTGATGCTGTCAATTTATTCTTACTGAATTTGTTACAGAGGCTAAGGTTGTGAGCTAGTTTATTCTGCATACTGAACTGCTTAGCTGTGACTTATGAGTTAGGTGAGCTGAAAATTTGAAGTGCTTCATTTTTGTGTTTTGTCTTTATTTTTATTTATTTATTTATTTTTGTGGTGCCGGGGATTGAACCCAGGGTCTTGTGCATGCTAGGCAAGCACTCTGCCAACTGAGCTATATTTCCAGCCCTGTGTTTTGTCCTTAATGGAATTAAAAAACTAGAGTTTTAAAGTGTATGTGTGTTTTTAAGAAAGTGAGTAGGTATTTGAACCTATTTTGTATTAGATATTGTTATTGGTGAATTAGAGATATCAAAGAAAACAGCACCAAGTGTATGTTCTCTGCTTTTGTGGGCCYGTATTCTAATTGGGCATGTGGAGAAGGCATACACTGAAAAAGTAAACTAATGTACATGTAATGTGTGGGTTGTCCTACCCCCCCACCCCTGCCCCCAATTAAAAAACAGAACTTTTAGCCAGGAGTCATGGTGCTCACCTGTAGACTTACCTACTTGAGAGTCTGAGATAGGAGAATCAGTTGAGCCCAACAGTTTGCTTGAACAACATAGACCCGTATCTCAAAAACAAACATCAAAAAAAAAAAAAAAAAAAGGAAAAAAGAAGTGTGGGGAACTTTTTCAGAGCAGTTTTAGATTCACAGCAATATTCAGCAAAAAAATTCAGAGTGCCATACATACTTCTTTCCTTACACAGTTTTTATGTAAATTAAAGATCATCTTGCTCTTTTCAGTCACATAATCCCTGGGGCCAAAAAAAAGTGACTTACTGGATGAGGACTAGGGAAAGCTCATACTTAAGTTGAGAATCTTATTTTAGTTAGGGAAGGAACAGAATCATAACTAAATGTTTGAACTTTTCAGGAAAAAAAAAGATTAGTGAGTTTTAGAACATTGAGTGGGTTAATGAATAGCTGGGCTGTAAGCTAATTTTTCTTTTTTTAGGAAAACAAGTTATTTTTAAAAATACAGAAAAGTGAGGAGGAACACTAAACCCAACTCATGTAGAGATAATTACCTTAATGTTTTTATGTTTTCTTCCACACTTATTTCCATGTGTTGGAGGTGCCAGTGACCATAAGTTGATGTAAATTTGGGCTCAGTATTGTACCCTACTTTTTTCACTTAACACTGTATAAATCTTGTGCTTTTTTGTGGACCCAGGATCAAGCCCAGGGCCTAGTGCTTGCCAAGCAAGCTCTCTTAACACTGATGTATACCTCCATTTTCCTTAAATGTTTTTTTAAAAGCACCTGCATATTTCATGGCTTGGATATATCTTAACTGTTCTTTATTAAAAGGACATTTAGGTTATTTGTAGAATGTTTTTTCTTATATAGAGAATACTTTTTCCTGTTAGTTTCTGATGGACTGAAGAGAGTTGTAAAGAACTGTTTATAACATCCTGGTTGGGCATTAATTAAAACATTTTGTGTTGTCTGCTAGTTGGGAGAAGCATGAAACACCTTTTAGATAGGCTAGAGAAAGATTCTTAGTACCTGCTCTTTTGGGGACTGATACTGGAGAAAAATCTTGAGAACAAAAACACTTGGCTAAATCACTTTTTTTTTTTTTTCCTTTTAGTTCTTGAAATCATGAATCCCGTTTATAGCCCTGGATCTTCTGGGGTTCCCTATGCAAATGCCAAAGGAATTGGTTATCCAGGTAAGTGAGTAGAATTTTTCATTTTTGATCACTTGGTATATTTCCATAGCATTAAAAATATTTAGAGTGGACAAGGAAGAAGATAAATGAAAATGAAAAATTAAGAGACAAGACTGGCTTTGATCAAAGTTTAATTTAGTAGTTTCTATATTTCCATAGCATTAAAAATATTTAGAGTGGACAAGGAAGAAGATAAATGAAAATGAAAAATTAAGAGACAAGACTGGCTTTGATCAAAGTTTAATTTAGTAGTTTCAGCAGTTGGGACCAGGATCTTGTTTATATAAGTTGGTCTGGTAAGCCTCACTTCCTCATCTTAGCTTAATAGTAGTCACAGGTCCTATTTGTTCCTCCCCATTGTGGCTCAGCCCTCATAGCAATCTTTCACTTTATTTCTGCCCTGTAAGAAAGCCCCAGAGGCTTTTTATTTCCTATTTATATCATATCTAGGGTTTGTCCTGATGGAACTTTAGTTTCATCCCTGGGTCAGAGAGGACATACTTCTAACTAAGGCCTGAACAGTACCGAGTCAGCAATGGTTGTCCTGATTGGTGACTTTGAATAAAGGATAAGTATTTGCAATGTTATGATTTCTTTGTGGATTTTAATAATATGGTTGATAACCCTAAAACCTTGTTGTTACAAAATCCTTAGAAAATGAGCTGGGTACCGTGATGCATGCCTGTAATCCCAGTGGCTCTGGAGGCTGAGGCAGGAGGACTGTGAGTTCAAAGCCAGTCTGAGCAATTTAGCAAGTTCCCAAGCAACTCAGTAAGACCCTGTCTCTAAATAAAATATTTTTAAAAAATGCTAGGTGGGGATGAGGTTGTGGCTCAGTGGTATAGAGCGCTTGCCTAGCATGTGTGAGGTGCTGGGTTTGATCCTCAGCACTATATAAAAATAAATAAAATAAAGATACTATGTCCAACTACAAATAAAAAAATATTAAAAAAAATAGTGCTGGAGATGGGCTTTGCCCCTGGGTTTAATCCCTGGGGTCAAAAAAGAAAAGAAAATGGAATAAAACATTTGCAAATGTATACCTGAACTTGCAGGAGGGAAAAGGATTGTCTAGGGCCAAATATGGGAGTGGTGTGAAACCCATTTTTTTTGACCATTAAGGTAAGGGGTCTGTCCAAGAGGTATTTGTTGTTTGTGGATTGTAACAATCCACATGGGAATAGGCTTCAGATCTTGTGAGACAAGGAGTAGGAGTGGGCTCTCATCAATTAGTTTGATTTCTAGRGAGTTGGTCTCCCAGGAAAGAGGTGGTCCCACCCAGAAGCTTGAGTCTGCATGGGCTCTGAGAAGGAGGGATGGCTTTCCTAAGATTTTGTAGCCATTTCGGGGATGTTTAGAACACTGATTTGCATTACTGTGCATTTCCTAGGGGCTCCAGAAGTTTAGAAACCAACATAAAAAATATTCTTCAACTTGAATTTCCCCTAGAGCCCCTGACAGAAGAGAATGCATAAGTGCTGTGGAGGCATTTGTCCTCAACCCAGCTTGCRTGGGCTTCCCACAGACAAAATTCTGCCTGCTTGCATGAAAAATCATTATAAGACACAGGGTGCTGTCAGGTGAAAGTCACCAGTCATGACTGCTGTGTCACACCGAGAATTTTAGAATAATTACAAATGGAAAAGAAAGAAAGAGTCAAAAACATAAGAGGGGAACAGTATGCTGGGAGAGAAAAAGTAACCAATCAGAACTTAAAAATGGCAAAAAAAAAAAAAAAAAAATTGGACAAAATTCAGGTTAATTTGCTTGTAGAACACTGCTAAAGTGAGAACCAGAAAGCAGTATTAGGATTGGAAGGCAGGAGGAATAGACTGGCTAAGAAGTTTGAGAATGAAGTGCTCCAGGAAGCATAAACACCAGCTCCGTATAGTGGTATTAATGCTGAAATGTGTATATTTGTTCTTCCTCTTTGGTTGGCTATTGACAGGGATTGGTAAACTCTACATGAAGGTCCAGGTAGTAAATATTTTAGAATTGTATAGCTACTCAGCTCTGTCTCTGTAGCACAAAAGCAGCCTTTGGCAATACTCAGTGTGGTGTGTTCCAGTACAACTGTAAAAATGGGTGGTGGGCCCTGTGGGCTGTTGCTGACACTTGGTTAAGAGAATTTTTGGAGTAAGCTGCTTTTTTTACCCCCTCTCACATTTTTTATTTTATTTTGGGGTCTAAAAATTACATTTAAAAGAAAATTTCTGTAATTTTAAAGATGTTTAAAATTTTGTATCTTTTTTACATAGTTTTTGCCTTCATTTCCTTATACTTATTTTCTATTTTCTTGGTTTTGAGATTTTTATGTCTCTTTTACTTCTATACAACTTTATGAGAGGGGCTGGAGTTGTAGCTCAGCGGTAGAGTGCTTGCCTAAGCTATGTGCGAGCCCCAGGGTTCAATCCCCAGCACCACATAAAAACAAAATAAAGTAAAGGTGTTATGTCCAACTACAACTAAAAAATAAATTAAAAAAAAACTTTATGAGTGAGGTTTCAATGCAGGACTCTAGGTCATTTAAATCAGGGAGTCAAAAATATGGGAAGATGTGCCTGCAGGAGGTGACGRCCAGCATAATTTCAACCAAAAGCTGACAAGGCATTTTAATATAGGAAAGTACTTTTGTGCTTTAAAAAAAAATATTTATTTTTTTAGTTGTAGTTGGACACAATAACTTTATTCCATTCATTTATTTTTATGTGGTGCTAAGGATTGAATCCAGGGCTCTGCGCATGCTAGGCTAACGCTCTACTGCTGAGCCACAATCCCAGCCCCCTTTTGTGCTCTTTTATATTCTTACTGACAAATGGAGAGACTGGTTCTATTACTGTTATTTTTATTTACACTTAAATAGGAAACTCTTCTCAGAAATGCTTTATATTTTGTTATAATTACTGATATAATTGATTTATATCCAGAATTTTGTTTTCTTTGCTCATTTTTCTCTTGTCATCATTTGGATTAATCAAATATTTTTATTTAATTCTTCTATTAGTTTTTTTTTTTCACTATTCTCTTAATGGTTACTATAATACAACATTTAAAAAATCCTCTCTTTCTCCTTTTGTATTATTGTTGCCATGCCTTAAGACATTACTGTTTTTATTTTGTGCAGTCAACAGCTATTAACTCAGTTATTTGTAGTGCTCTTTATTGCTTTCTTTGTTGACACATTTCTGTCTGGGTCTTTGTTCTTTATCTGAATAACTCCCTTTAACACCCCCTCCCAATCCACAAACTTTAATTTTTTTTTTAAGTTATAGGTGGACACAGTATGGTTATTTATTTTTTTTATGTGGTGCTGAGGATCGAACCCGGTGCCTCACACATGGTAGGTGAGTGCTCTACCTCTGAGCCACAACCTCAGCCCTGTAAATAATTTTTTTTTTTTTTTTTGTTATTGTTGTGCTGGGGATTGAACCCATGGCCTTGTGCATTCCAGGCAAGCACTTACCAACTGAGTTATATCCCCAGTCTCACAAGCTTTTAATAGATTAAAATAGAAATTTTATTCTCTCCCAGTCCTGGATACAGAAGTTTGAAATTAAGATATGGGTAGGGCTACAGTCCTTGCCTTTTCTAGTTTCTGGCATTACAGGTCATCCTACACAGGTAGCCCTGGGGCCACATCAATCCCATTTCTGCTTCCATAGTCAAAACCTCTGCTTCTCTTTTGTGTGTATTCTTTAAAGTCACTTGTCATTGGATTTAGGACTCACCTGAGCAGTCAAGGATGATCTCATTTCAAGATCCTGAGTCATATTTGCTAAGTCTTATTTCAAATAAGTTCATAGTCATTTTCCTGGGGATCTAATGTGATATCTTTTGGGGAGCCTTTGTTTTTGTTTATAATGGTGAATATAGATTTTTAGGTTGGCAGTTACTCTCTCTCAGACATTAGGATGTAATTCCATTGTCTTCAGTTTTGCATTGCCTTTGGGAATCAATTTTTGCTTCTCCCTTGCCATCCGTTGTGCTCTCTTTTTTTTTTTTTAATATTTATTTTTAAGTTGTAGTTGGACACAATACCTTTATTTTATTTATTTTTATGTGGTGGTGAGGATCGAACCCAGAGCCTCACATGTTCTAGGCGAGTGCTCTACCACTGAGCTGCAACCCCAGCCCCTCCCTATGCCTTTTAAAATATCTTAAAAAAAAAAAAATCTATCTATCTTTCTTTCTTTCCTTTTCTTTTCCTCCCTTTTCCTCCCTTCCTCCCTCCCTCCCTTCCTCCCTCCCTTCCTCCCTTCCTTCCTCCCTTCCTTCCTACCTTCCTTCCTCAAACCCAGTGACTCACACGTGCTACAGCCCTAGCCCCTAAAATATCTTTGTTTTTACCATCATGTAACTAGATATCATTTTCTTAGTTTTTGTCTTGCTTAGCATTTAGTGAACTTTTTGGTCCTTGGTTTGTTTCTTCTAGCCGTTGCAGTACCTGTGCAAGTATTTTTCTGTTCCTTACTCTTTCCTGGGACTTCATTAACATTAATATACATTCATATACCCCTTTTCTTTTTGTATTTTCCAGTTTTTTACCTCAATTAACTTAAAATATGGATAGCTTCTACTGATCTGTTTTCATTTCACTAATCCTGATTGTGCTCAAATTTGTTGTAAAATCATACATTGAATCAAGACTTTTTATCTTCTCTAATATATTACTCAGTTATTTGAAAGATCTTTGGGCTGACTGCAGACTCTGGATTCACTGTGGGTCTATTTCTGTTGTTAGTTTGTTTTTCAGTCATTTCTCTCGGGTTGTCTGGGATTTTTCTTTGGTTGTCACACATGTTATATTAGAAATTGTGGGTGGTCCTGATGAGGTCTTCCTTTGCCAGGTAGATAACTTACTAATTGATCTTAATCAACTCAGGGAATGAGGATCTCTTGCCCATGCTGAGTTGACAAGTGTCCCAGGCCAACAAGTCATGTATTCTAATTTCTCCTTTGGTGCACAGAAAGTAGTGGACTCTTGAGTTGGAGTTAACAACAGATACATTTTGGTGGGGGCGAGGGGGCAGGATAACGCTTGTGGGAAATCAATGGGGAGGAAGCAGAATTGGATAGGAAGAGCCTCAGACTGGAGTACTTAATCGAGGAAGTCTCAGTCAGGCTATTGGGTTTCCTGAGGCAAGGATTGGCAGTTGCAGGAGGCTTGTGTTAGGCTGCTACTGCTGGAGGTCATCAGCTCGCGTATGTCTTCACTGTTGGAACAGCAGGTTAGTTTTGGGAAAGTGATGTAGCAAGTGTCTCACACTTTACTTTGTCAACTTAAATTATTCTAGAAATCACTCCCATATAATTTCACAGAGATTTTTTTTTCTTTTTTTAAAACATAATACTATTGAATAAACCCTCCATTTTGTGAGGTTTTCTTTTTTTATATTTATTTTTTATTTTATTTTTTAAATGTTTATTTTTTAATTGTAGGTGGACATACAATCTTTATTTCATTTTTACGTGTTGTTGAGGATTGGACCCGGTGCCTCAGTGTGCAAGGTGAAATGCTACCACAGAGCCACAACCCCAGCCCCTTGTAGGGTTTTCTTGTAGGGTTTCCTTTTGAAGGGTGTTAGGGTTGTTTGAATTGTTTGCTGTTTGAATGATGCTTCAGAGTAAATGACCTTGTGCTTATATTTGTTGTGGAAATTAAAATTCAAGGTGAATGTTAGAGGTAGAGTTGTGTATCAAAGAGTAAATATGTTTACATTTGATATTTTTGGATACAGCATCTTTCTGTTTTGCCCAGGCTGGGGTTGAACTCAGGATCCTTTAGCTTCAGCCTCCCATATATACATGTGCAGCTTTTTTTTTTAAAGAGAGAATTTTTTTAATATTTATTTTTTGGTTTTTGGCAGACACAACATCTTTATTTTTATATGTGGTGCTGAGGATTGAACCCAGCGACGTGCGCATGACAGGCGAGCACACTATCGCTTAAGCCACATTCCCAGCCCTACATGTGCAGTTTTTAAGATAATGCCAAGTTCACTTCCATCGAGCTTTTCCTATTTTATCCTTCTGCTAGAAGATCATTTTTCCACAGCCTTGCTGACAAAATGTCGTCTAATTTTCAGGTGGTTGCTATTCTGGTGTGAGATGGTATCAGTGTAGTTGTAGTTTGCAGTTCTAACAGTCCATGTCTATTTTTTTTTCCTTGGGTTTTTGTTCTTCTAATTTTACAAGTTATAGGCAGATGTGGTGGTATAGGTTTATAATCCCAGCTACTTGGAAGTCTGAGGCAGGAGGATTAGAAGTTTGAGGTCAGTCCAAGTAACATTAGTGAAAACCTGTCTCAAAGTAAGAAGGGCTGGAGATGTAGCTCAGTGGTACCTAGAGGATGTGAGGTACTATATTCAATTCTCTGAACTTCCCAAAAAGAAACAAACGTTAAGTGTGTCAACCTTTTACCTAAGTAATTTGTAAATATTTTCTCCTAATTTGTCTTTTTTCCCCCTGTTTTGATGGTATTACCATAAAGAGATCAAGCACATAAAAATGGCTATAGTTGAAGTTCATCATTTCATTCTCTTGCTGTGGGGAGTCTGGCCTTTCCAAAAGCCTCTGCATGCCAGAAAAGAATGAGAGTAGTTGTTGAAGGAGACGCTTCTTGTTGTCCAATGGGGGACATTTTTAGGAAGCTGCTAGGGCTAGAAAAATCTGAAGGGTAGAGAAAGAGTTCTTCTCAACAAAATTCTGGAGAGAATAAGAGAAAGAGTTTGGTGTTACACCCACAGCCAGCTAAAGTAGCATGCCAGTAGGGTCTTTTCAGACTACCCCTGTGGGGTTATATGTAGCCCAAGTGAAAACGGTTGAAGTAGAAATAGTGAGGTGAGCTATGTTCAGCTCTGGTCAGGATGGTGGCAGAGCAGATGGGATGTGGCTGATGAAATGGAGAGAGTGAGGGCATGGAAGGAGCAGAGGCTCCCATACCAGAGGCCAGTTGTATAATGACCCTCTGTTGGTTATTCACTAGCTATTTTAAATATGCTTTGTGATCTGTTTGATTTTAGAGCACATTAACTCATTGTTAGATGGTTGTGAAGGGAAGGGCCAAACAAACATAACAGTAAGACCCTTGAAGCAAATACCAAACAGATGATTCTCAGAGAATTTACTAGTGGATTTTATGGAGAGAGATAAAATTGGATTTTGTGGGAATTCCTGCACATGCCTATAGCATATTCTCTAGGTCAGTGGTATTTTCTTTTCTGACTGACTCCTTGGTATATAAGCTATATACCATTAGCTCCTATGGGTGAATTGAGGCAGCTCCAGAGCCTACTTGGCTCTCCTTGCATTTGGGCCTCTGGGGAACCTCTCCAGGTCAGTCTACAGAATGCTGATGGAAATTTCTGCTCTGCTGTTTTTACAATGGCCACTTGAAGTCTGTTTCAAGTGAAATCCTCCCTTGATGTCCAGAATGAGTGAAGGTGATAAAACATTTTACCACTGTACTTTATTCTCTGACTAGGGGGCAAGTRGGAAAGTGAGAATCTAGAGATAAACCCCAAATAGTTTCTACTGAGATAGAGGAGGATCAGTTTCAAGATCAAGGAAAAAAACAACAAAAAAACCAGATTCATTTAAGAGATGAGATCTGGCCACTTGTAGGAATTCCTGTGGGCCATTGTCTTACTTTTCTTATTGAAACTTGTTGGACTGCTTGGAAAGGTGGGATAGCAAAACAAGGGCATCCTGGCTGAGGAGGGGTGCTACAGGGATTCTAGAAAGGRACTTTATATATAACCTTCAGATAAAACCTACTGAGGGACCTACGGGTGTAGCTCAGTTTAGAGCATTCGCTGAGCATACAGGAGGCCTTGGGGTCTATCTCCAGTGCTTTAAAAGAAACCAAAAACCAAACCTATCCATAATGACTTAACCCTTTGGAAGTTCACTTAGACYACCAATTCCTGCCCCTAGTTTTCACCTCATTCCAAAGGTTTTCATCACTTTGTTTACTGTTACATCTGTTCCTTAAAGGGTCATGATGCCACCCTAAATGTCCCAGTCTAAGTGCCCTAGCAAACAAACACCTTTCTCTGAGCCTCTTCAGCAGTTTCTTTCGAAGGCTGCTGATCTATTTCTTTCTTTCTTTTTTGGTACCAGGGATTGAACCCAAGGGCTCTTAATCACTGAGCCATATCTCCAGCCCTTTTTATGTTTTATTTTGACACAGGTTCTTGTTAAGTTGCTTAGGGCTTCGCTAGCTTGCTGAGGCAACTTGTGATCCTCCTACATCAGCCTCCCAAGTTGCTGCCCCATACCAAGGAGCCTAACTGTTGTTTTGTTTCATCAGGTGAGGGAAGAGAGGACTAAAGTACAGTTTCTCACAAGTAGTAGTTAGGGCTAGCAAACATGGGTCTTCTCAGTGGCACTCTTCCCCTTGTATGAAAAAGAATTTCTAATGCCCTGGCTGTCACATCTTCCTGCACTATGAACCAGGGAGTCAGTCAAAAGGGGATCAGGGGCCTCATGGGTCCCTGGGCTCTGAAAAAGGCTGGGGAGATGACTGAGGCCTCCTCTGCTAGTAGACATCTGGATAGGGGGCAGGATTCTGACTTTCATACTAAATGTCTTGGTGTTTCTTTGTGTTCATGTTTGGAATTATTACTGGCTATTAGTTTAGTCTTCTAAGGATTTCTCATTTAATAAAGAACAGCTTGCTTCCATAAGTTTCTTTTCTTTTTTTTTTAATATTTATTTTTTAGTTTTAGGTGGACACAATATCTTCATTCCATTTCTATGTGGTGTCCAGGATCGAACCTAGTGCCCCGCACATACCAGGCGAGCGCGCTACTGCTTGAGCCACATCCCCAGCCCCATCTTTTCTTTTTCTGTTTTTTTTTAATTATTATTTTAGTTGTTGATGGGCTTTTATTTTTATTACTTATACACAGTGCTGAGATGTAAACCCAGTTCTTCATACATGCTTATAGACAAACTGTTGGGCACTTAGTGCTATTGGTGTTTGTGAGTCATTCTGTGGAGTTTTGGAGTTGAGGGTAAGAATAACGGGTTTGTAGGAGCTCCGATTATAAGAGTCTCTCACTTCTTCATTGATGACATCGCATTGTGCTGTATATGTTTTCTTTCAGCTGGTTTCCCCATGGGCTATGCAGCCGCAGCTCCTGCCTATTCTCCTAACATGTACCCTGGAGCGAATCCTACCTTCCAAACAGGTATGTCCTGGGTGATGAAATGCATTGTACATGCAGTAGGGGAGAAAGAAAAGGGGCTGGGCTTTAAGAAGAGAGGGGACAGAGTTAGGATTTGGGATTAAGTGGTTTTATTTCTGAGTTTATGAAATTAGCCTTTTGGTGTCTGTATTATAAGTTTTAGATATTGCCAGGTCCTCTCAGCATACAAATCTTCATTATAATCACTCAGTTGTTAAAGGTAACTTTTTATGTCAGAGCCTCTCTGTTTAAGGAGTAGGGGCTTACTACTAGAAACTGAAAACCATCTTGCCATTGGTTTCTTTATGGTACTTTAGCACTTTGCTTATTTGGTTATATTTTTGTAATTCTTTTTTTTTGGGGGGGGGTGTTGGTACTGGGTTGGAACCCAGTGGCAAGTGCTCTAGCATTGAACTATATCCCTAGCCCAGTCTTTGTTTAAAAGAAAGTCTTGTCTTCCATGTAAAGTGTACCAGAATATTTTTGTTTTAAAAGTCACTGTAAGGGCTGGGGATGTGGCTCAAGCAGTAGCGCGCTCGCCTGGCATGCGTGCAGCCGGGTTCAATCCTTAGCACCACATACAAAAACAAAGATGTTGTGTCCGCCGAAAACTAAAAAATAAATATTAAAAAAAAATTCTCTCTCTCTCTTTAAAAAAAAAAAGTCACTGTGAAAAATGCAGTTGGACTGGGCGCCATGGTGCATGCCTGTAATCCCAGTGTCTCAGGAGGCTGAGACAGAGATCATGAGTTCAAAGCTAACCTCAGCAATGGCGAGGCACTGAGCAACTCAGTGAGACCCTGTCTGTAAATAAAATAAAAAATAGGGCTGGGGATGTGGCTTAGTGGTTGAGTATCCACAAGTCCAATCCTTAGTAAACCCCCCCCCAAAAAAAAAAAAAATTGCAGTTGGTTTCATCTGAGTCTTTTAAAGGTTGTTTATTGAGTGGAATTTTCCTCCCGTGATCCTGCATCCTCTGATGTTGACTCCTTTCCGGCATTAATACTCAGGACACTGTGATTCTTTTGCAACAGTGGTAGCCTGTGTTTTGACATGAGGGCTTGGCTTGTCCTCCACGGGAAGCACCTTCTAAGATTGCTGGGGCAATTCTTTGTGGCTTAGAATACTAGCCTCACATAGTTCATTTTGATGAAAGATGGCAATAGTGTCCTTCTCCCAAATTATTCTTATTTTATGATTCATAAAATTTTGCCTTTATATTCTAGTCATATGTCCATTTCTTTTCTGTCTCCACTATGTCAACCTCTCTTCAGTCCCTAGTTCATATCAAGAGAAAAATCTTGACTTGGTCTTCCTGCTCCCAGTTTTTCTGTCCTGGGTTTATGTTCTTGCTCACTTAAGCCAGAGTAATGTTTCCAGGTGAAATTTTACTTAATAAAATTTTACTTATCACTATAGGATAAGCCAACAATCTCTATTTTAAACCCCTAATTCTTTCCTACAATGGCCTTGTTTTTATCTTTTTTTAAAAATTGTTTTTGTTTTTATCTTTTTATCTTTCTGTTTTTTTGGCAGTACTGGGGATTGGACCTAGTGTCCTTCTGCCCCTGAGCCACATTCCCCAGTCCTTTTTAATTTTGAGACAGTGTCTTGCTAAAGTTGCTAAGGCTGGCCTTAAACTTTGAATCCCCCTGCCTCAGCCTCTCAAGTAGCTGGGATTATAGGCGTGTGCTACCATATCCAGCATGTCTAGTTGTTTTTCTGACTGGATCAGATGACTTTTTTTTTTTTTTTTTTTTTTTTT